TATATATATTATATATACAATTGTATATATAATATGTTTTATTTATTCCCTCTCTATATAGACAATATATGTTTATATATTCTTTTACTCTCTATATATATGTACATATATATGTTTTGCTTATTATCTATCTTTCCTAAATAATGTTTACCAGGTCTAATCTAAGGTGGTAAGAAAGTGTAATTTCCTTATAATTAGATTTGGGACACACAAAAGTTTACTTTCACAGGAGCATAATGAAGTCATCTATAGAACTCTATCAAGACAATACATATATTACCATCCCTTGATACAAACATTTACACACATAATTTCACATATCCTTTCAGGGGTTTACAAGACGCCTGCTAACTTGTCCATCCACAGGCACCACTCATCTTTAGGCTAATGAAAGTCCTTTTACTAAAGTGAAATACACATAACTCTTCTAAATAGCAAATACATCAGAGAAAGGAGATACATTTAGTTCACAATAAAAAAATTTTTCCTATTTCATGTTATATGGAAAGAACAAAAGAGATGTTCAGAGTTGTATTGTTCTACTAATGTAAAATCTTTCCTGGAGACCAAATAAAACGCACCATGGATAAGGGTTAGCTGCAGTCGAGTTAACAAATGTAAAACAAACAGAAAGAGGTACTTAATGTAAGTCTAATGTGGAAGCTTTTCAGCCCATGTGATGAAAGTGCTGATAAGAAACCGTGAATAATCTGCTAATTCCAGTAAATTCATTCACCTTAGGTATACATTTAAATTTAACACAAAACCTGCAGTTTTCATTAGGAAAGGTGTAAGTTCTGTTCTTCAGATTGTTTAGATCACTGTAAAAAAATGTAGAATTATATCATTATAATTTAAGGATAAAAAAATCAAAGTCTGTTTTTCATATTAGTTTCAAAAGAAAGACCTCTAGGGCAAGCTCTCAAGCTTTAAAAAAGTTGTGTGTTTTTTTTTTTTTAATTAAAAAATTTACCAGAATTGTGTTCTTCTGACTTATGCAAGAAGGCATTACATAATACTGCAGCCCTAGCGAGGCAGCTGCAGAAACTCTCCGCTTCCTTCCCACAAAACCACTAGGGAATTCCCTTGCTCTTTGTTCCCCTTGCCTGGCCTCTCCTCTCCAGCACTGCAATCCCTACAGCAACCTGGCAGACAGTCCAGTCACCTCAGGCTCTGCAGTAGTAGACAGGGAGCTGCTGTGGTAAAAAGGGAGAGAATATTGTATGTTCATCCCTAAAACCATGGGAACCATAACGGCCATTTCTCTGTATCCCCTTCCTTACCTCAGGGAAAGGAAAATAAATAATAAAGTAATGAAGGAAAATACTCTTGCCATTTCTCCCTTCTCATCCCAATGGCTTAATCTAATACCCACATATGATCCTGCCCTAAAATATTCTACTATCAAATGCAAGGAAAGGGAAAACTGGGGAAGCAAGGTTAAAAAGTAAACCATAACGTGTCCTCTACTTAACAGTTTCCGTCTCTTCTTTAAATCCACATTCTTTTTCTATCCCTCCTAGACAAGGTCTGTAACACATTCCAGTTCTCAATTATCATCTGGCTCCTTGGCTCTAAGGGGGCCATCTAGGACTTCATCTCAACTCACAAATAATAAATAAAATTAAAATTAAATTAAAATAAAAAGCAGAGGCTGGAAACTCAAAAGCCTTTGCCTGAGGAACAGCATAAATGAGTAAACAGACTACTGGGTGCAGCATAAGAGATGAATATGCCTTACTAAAAGGGCCTCTCACTCTTTTTCAAGAAAAGCTATAAATCCAGAATTTCTTTTTTCTTTGTTTCCCGAATGTCTTCCATCAGAGTAAAAGGAAATCCATATTTTTATGTGTAACCTCTTTATTTTTAGTTATCTAGTTAAAAAACTTTTGTGAGACTTACAGGAAGATGCCTCAGCTTGATGAACTGCATATGGGCCAAAAAACCTCATTTGTGACCTCTAATCTAGAATCCCTAGAGACTGAAGAGAGGTCACAGCTTCCCTCACCAGTGCTGTCTAAACCCGCAACTCTCAACTCCAAGAAACGGCAACTCTCAACCCCAAGAAAGTCGGCTGCCATGGTAAGAGATCTTCAGCTCCTGCTGGGAAGCAGGAAGAGAAGAAATTCCTTTTTCACTGTCATTTTGACTTGACTTGGGTTAGGCTAAAGTTGTGCTTCCCGTATGCCAAAAGTTGGAGCTCTGAGTGAATCTTCTCACAGAAACGTCGATACACACAAGGGCTAGGTTTGATATTTGTATTCTTGATGTATGGTAGGAGTTGTAAGGTTTTTGTCCAGCTATTTTGGGAAAGTTACTTAACAAATACAACAATGTTGCCAGGCCTGGTGGCTCACACCTGTGATCCTAGCACTTTGGGAGGCTGAGGCTGGTGATCACTTGAGGCCAGTGGTTTGAGACTAGCCTAGCCAATATAGTGAAATCCTGTCTCTACTAAAAAAAAAAAAAAAAAAAAAAAAATTAGCCGGGTGTGGTGATGCACGCCTGTAATCCCAGCTACTCAGGAAGCTGAGGCATGAGAATCACTTGAACCCAGGAGGCAGAGGTTGCAGTGAGCCAAGATCGCATCACTGCATTCCAGCCTAGGTGATAGAGCAAGATTGTCTCAAAAAAAAAAAAAGAAAAAGAAAAGAAAAAACTATAGAAAAACTGCATTCAAAATTCTAAAATAAATATATTTACAAATAAACCTTCAAAACACTGTTATTTGTAAAATGAAGGTTTTCTACATTCTTATAATATCGCTGTTGAATTTTAAGACTTGCTCAGTGGCCTCAGAGTACTGAAGAGCAAAAGGACATTTAAAGGAAATTATAGTCACATTAAAGAATACATTCAAAGTTATGATTACTAGATCAGTCCATCTAACTGGTATACATTTTTGCCTCATGCCAAGAAAGGACCCTACACTAATAGCAGCCAAAATTAAAATGTTAATGCATTCCTATTCCCCACCATTAGGGCTGTGTTTCTTTCTCCCCAGTCTTCCCATATGATGTCATGAGAACTAAAAGCCTATAAAGAAAGACCTGAAAAAAAGTGAAAATGTATTTTTAAAAGCAATAAGGAACAATGATAAAAAAGGCACACTGGTGGGCACAAAAAAAGTGTTCAGATTTGCTTCTACATAGGTTAATGTGCCACACTGCTAAGAAAAACCAAACGTATTCTGACTCTTTTTGGAACAGAAATTGATTAGACTCTTGGAAATTCAGAGAGAATTTTTTCTTTTAAAGGTAAGCAGAAGCATCCTCCTCAAACTGTGTCAAGGAGTTTGAAATTCTCTAAGCTTTATAATATTTAAAAATGTAGAAAATTCTTTACATCTAGTACAATTTCAATAAGCATAATGATAATAAAGCAAAATTACACCAAAACCAAAACCAAAACCAAAAGAATACAAAAATTCTGGAAGGGCCAAGAAATATCAAAATTCACTCATTAAAGTAAGGGCTAAAGTCCCCAGCTGATTTCCTTCTGAAACATATTTTGGGTGAATCTATTCCAATAAATGCACAGAACACACAAAGAACGGTAAGTAATCAACAGTCTGGGGGGTCTCAACATCAAAACAGTTTAACGTGCTGCTTTTGCTTGTGAAACTAGGCCTCATAAAACTTAGAAACTAGGCCTCATATAGAAAAAAATTAACACCAGGTGGCTCTGGATAGGGTCCCACCCTGCCTCGATAAGGACCCAACCTCATGGGGTCCCACCCTGCCAATTCCGGGGGTCCCACCCTGCCTCGAAGTTCCCGGAATCAACAACTCCAGGAAAAAAACCTCATAAGGTCCTGCTCTAACCAATTAGCATAAGACACCTTGCTCAGACCATAGCTAGACCCAATCATTTTGCGCCTTAAGCTTTGTTTGAATTTCGCGCCATAAGCTGTGTTTGAACTTGTGTTTGCCTATATAAACAGCCTGTAACAAGCAGTCGGGGTCCCAGGGCCAACTTAGAGCTTGGGACCCTAGCGCGCTAGTAATAAATAACTCTCTGCTGTGAATCTCGTGTCGGTGATCCTTTGCGGTGACCCCTGCCCAGGAGGGAATCGACAGTTCGGTTCCAACACTTGAAGTCCCCTATTAATAACAGTTGATTCATAAGTTCCTCAAAGCAATAAACAGCACTCTTTAAAATATTAGATAAAAACATAATTTATATAACCAAAATCCATCAACTGGAATATAATCAGAAGTTCACAGACTGTAAAGTCTGTCTACTTCTGGAAAAACTATTCTTTAAAAATGATTTTGTTTATGTATCTTGTTTTTTCACTCCCTGTTCCTTCAGATTTTGAGGACTGAATCTTTGTTTCACGGTAGTTCATCTGCATCAAATGTTTGCACTTCATTTGGATTATAATCCTCTCTTTGTAAGTGATGAAACAGAATAAGCAGAAAACAATGTGAAACAGAATAGGTAACAAACACATCTGAATTAAATTACATTCCACAAACTTAAGCCCAATTACTGTGAAATGATATAAGGGAATATAGCATCAAGTCTTCATGAATGAATCACCAATTATATGAGTGGGGGATAAGTGGTTGATTTTTTATTTCATGCCTTTATTTTTTTTTTATAAAGGTACAAATTAAATGGTTTCTATTGAAGTTGACATTTGTCATAATATTCTTAGAAAAAGCATGGCAAAGAAAGAGCAAAATGTTCATAATAATTAAATGGCATTATCTTTTAAATTATCTTTAAATGGCATATGGGGGATTTTTTTTTCTCACTTAATTTTCTGTTATTTCCAAGTTTTCTATAATAGGAATACATTACTTTTGAAAAAGAAAAGTCTATTTTAAAATAGTCTTTAAAGTTAGATAATATAAGCTCAATGTATTACAAAAAAAGCCAAATCCTAAGATCTGTAATTTTAAAGGGCTTTTTAAAGTTGATGAAGTAACTCTATTACATTTATAGATTTGTTCTTCAACAAAATAATATTAATTCTGATTAATTATTTTTACCTGTTCCCTTCCGTGCAAGTTCCAAACTCCACTGGGGTTTTGTGGTGGGTGTGCTGTCACAGCCTGTTGAGTGCTGGGGTATTAAAGCAGATCGGGAGCTAGCTGGCCGATATTTCGAGAGCCCTAAAATGCCAAACGAGAAAAAAGAGGGATTTATTTCTTTGTTTCCCAAAAGAAAAAAAAGGCTGACAGGTTTTTATAAACTAGCCTTAAAGACAGAAACAGTTCATCCACAGTAAAATTCTAACAGTTGAAAGAATACTAGCTGGGTGGAGTGGCTCACACCTTTAATGGCAATGCTTTGGGAGGCTGAGGAGGGAGGATCGCTTGAGGCCAGGAGTTCAAGACCAGCCTAGCCATCACAGTGAGACCACATCTCTACTACAGAAAATAAATAAATAAATAAAATCAGCCAGGTATGGTGGCATGTACCTGTGGTCCTAGTTACTTGGGAGGCTGAGGTGGGAGGATGTATTGAGCCCAGGAGTTCGAGGTTGGAGTGAGCTATGATCATGTCACTGTAATCTAGCTTGGGCCACAGAGTGCGACTCTGTGCCTTTAGAAGAAAAAAAAAAACTATTTTAAAACTACTAAAAATCTCATTTAATTTAATCCTTTGTCATGGTTCTTGTAAGCTTAAGTCTGAGTAGAATAAGCATTCAAGAGAGGCAATAAGCTTGAATGACTTGCTGAACATATAAATTAAACCCTGTATTCTGGGGCAGGAACCATTTCATATTTTTTATTATTTATGTGGAACTCTGTATAGAGTAGTTTGCCCAGCCCCCCAAATTTTGGTAACAAATACCATTATAAAATTTACTCAACAAATAGATCCAAGATAGTTTAGGGACTATAAAAGACATTTAAAACAGAAAATGGTCTAATTGCGTAATGTGAACAGCACTGTAGTGGAATCTGGAGATTGAGGTTTTGATTCCAAACTTATCAAAAAAATCAGAAATACATTCTGAGTAAGATATTTTATCTCTTTATGTCTTAAATCCTTCACTTGTCACATTCCTTCACTTGTCCTAAGATTTAGCCCTTAGTTGGCCACTACCTGGGTATGTCATCCAGGGCAAGTCACTTAGCATCTCTCTACTTGTCTACTTAAATGGACAGAATAGATAAAATAACTGTTAAGCTTCAACTATAAAACCCAAAGAATTCATGACCTATCAGTCTTCAAATGTATCTTAGATTCATGTCCTACCTGCAGCAAGTTCTCAAATTCTAGTAGGTCATCTTAGATTACTAGATAATGAAAAAATAATTTAGGTCTCATAAATAAAATTAAAACAAAAAGCCAAATAAAAAGCAAAGCAACAGGAGTAATAAAGTCTTTAGCACAAATGTAACATGTTAAAAACGAAAGAGAAAAAAAATCTCATTCATATGTAAACATCCTAAAATACAACAACCATGGGCAATGAAAAAGATTTCCAAACAAAAAAATAGAAACATTACCCAGAAAAAAAGAGACAAACAGTCATACCCATAATAGAAGAAATGCATTAAAAAGTAAACCTGGAAGGGCACAGTGGCTCACGCCTATAATCCCCACAATTCGGGAGGCCAAAGCAGGCGAATCACTTGAGGTCAGGAGTTTGAGTCCAGCCTGGCCAACATGGCAAAAGCCCGTCTCTACTAAAAATACAAAAATTAGCCGGGCATGGTGGTGCGCGCCTGTAGTCCCAGCTACTTGGGAGGCTGAGGCAAGAGAATCACTTGAACCCGGAAGGCAAAGGCTGCAGTCAGCAGAGACGGCACTACTGCACTCTAGCCTGGGCGACAGAGTGAGACTCCATCTTAAAAAAAAAAAAAAAACCCCAAAAGCAAAAACAGTAAACATGTGTTGTTTTACAGTTACTCTAAAAGTTCCGAATTATTACACTGATGACAAGTGCTATGACAGATAATGATCATAAAGAAAATTAATGAATTACAATTTATATACCAATAAGAATTTTAGAAACATAATGCCGAGTAAAAAAAAGCAAGTCATGTTATACCATTTCTTAAAAAATTCAAAAAACAAGTGCAACTAAACATACAGGATCACATACCTATGTGGAACACTATAAAGAAAAGCAACAGAATGAAATTAAGGAAAAAGAAAAAAAAAGAAAATGTGAGATAGTAGTTACTTGTAGTGGAAAGGCAGAACAGGACCAGGGATAAAGCAGATAGGAAACATCCGTGCATGATATATCATGTACATGTTAACTTGGGTGGCACGTACGCAGATATTTGTATGTCGTAACTTTAATCAAAGGCTTTTATTTCTTAAAAATTAGAAAAAGCTTATGATATGAACTGGTATAATCTCTCAAAAAACATGGCAATAAGTATCAAGAGCTATGAAAATCTAAAGACATGTATCTCACAATATAGCTAACATTAATCTTTTCACTAAAAATACATTTTGGGGAATTTATCCAAGAAACATAATTTAACAAAAAGATAAAGTGCAGAATTACCAACAATATATAAAAATGAAAAACAACCTAATGCCTATCAACAAGGAAATGACAAGGTAAATTTTAATATATTGACTCTCTATGTTGTCTTAGGAATTTTTTTTTTTTTTTTTTTTTTTGCGATGGAGTCTCGCTCTGTTGCCCAGGCTGGAGTGCAGTAGCACGATTTTGGCTCACTGCAACCTCTGCTCCTCCAGGTTTAAGCAATTCTCTGCCTCAGCCTCCGGAGTAGCTGGGATTACAGGTGCGTGCCACCACGCCCGGCTAATTTTTTTGTATTTTTAGTAGAGACGGGGTTTCACCATCTGGGCCAGGCTGGTCTTGAACTCCTGACCTCGTGATCCACCTGCCTCGGCCTCCCAAAGTGCTGGGATTACAGGCGTGAGCCACCATGCGCGGCCCTTAGGTAGTATTTTCAAAAGAAAACATGATGCTTTTTGAATGACCTATGAAAATGACTGACATAATATTATATGAGATAGGCAGGCAAAAAGAGAAAGTGGTGCTACAAGCAGCATTAACTGCAGTTAAAAAAAATTAATCTAACTATGGTTACATGAAGTCAAGTCTACAACATACACACACAAAAAAGAAATCAGAGCTACTAGAAAGAATCTGAATGATGGATTTTATACAAGCAAATACTTAAAAAAGACCAAAATAAAACAGCCAAAAGAAGCACTTTTTCTATTTGTTATTTTGCTAATTTATGTTACAACCTGATACAATTTAATATTTTAAGCTGGCTAATTTTAAACTTTATATTTGTTCATTTGAAAATAAAGTAACACACATTAAAAAACTGGTATCAATCAATGTCTCCATCTCCTCAATGACTGCAGAATACTAATCTTACCCGGAGTTGACGGCCTTTCAAGCATGTTTAAATGATGGGAAATGAAGGCCTGGCTATCATGAACAGTATCCATATCAATCTCCTCCTCATCTTGAGAACTTGAAAACTAAAACACACACACACATAAAACAGAGGAACAAAAGAACCATTACATCACGTTATGTTTGGATCTTAGCTCTTAGGAAAAGTAGCAGAGAGGCCATAGGATATACCCCCATATAATCTTAAAGTAAAAAGTAGTTTCTTTCTTCAAAGATATTAAGAGAAAGAAAATTTTTGTGGTCCAGCCTCCAATTAGAAATTACTGGAAATGTAATAGCAACTAAAATCTACTCCTATTTTGTGGGAAAAAGTGATGAGTTGTGGTGAAACGTGCACACATAGTTCCTCCCCCAAATAGAGAAGAATTATGCGATAATATAAGTTAAATGCTTGGTTCGAATGTCTCAGAAGGACATTTGAGTTTTATAATGCAGTCTGTCGCATGTGTTCCTGCTAAGGAAAAACCACTGCAAGTATTCAAAAAGATTTACAAGAAGGTGAATATCCTACACTGTTAATACAGGTTTAACCTGTATTTCTTACTCTGATTTTGAGTTTGACTTTACTGCTATCCTCATTCTTCTCCAGTATTTGACCAGGTTCTAGTGGGAACCCCAGTGGTGTATCAGACTTCCTCTTCACTCCCTGCTGATGAGCTGATATATTACATGATGCTTCCTTGGCAAGGTGATCATCTTCCTGCGGCAATATTCAAGATGAAAATTAGATTTCTGAAAACGAGTAGCTCATATTACAGCTGAAAACTAATAGCTATAGCAACCATGCAGATTAGAGCATGCCCAGTGGCTAGAAATTATCAGCAATGGGCTTAAAATAAATGTAATCTTTTCTTGTCTGTTGGTCTTTTTTAGGGGGAGAAGGGAGGTATTTAAGTGAACTTTCAGAGCTTTCCCCAAAGAACATGTCCTTTGATGCATTTTCTCCTCTTAACCTGCAGTGTGAATGTGGATTAATTAACATATATGAGCAAGAATTATAAATATATCCATTTTCACAGGTTGATAAATATGTAGATCTGAAAGAGCTCTTTAATGAGACTTTTTTTTTCTATGTAAGTATTTGTCTTACTTCTTCATAACCCAAACTCTAGGACATATTTTAAATCGACAACAAATAAGTATGATGATACTTCAGAAAATTTAGGTGAGTAAGCAAATTTAACATGAACTATTACTAACTAGCATAGAGAGAATCTGCAATTTAAAGTGTCAAAACACCAGTAGGGAATTGCCAGGCAAGTAATCTGGTCTAAATATTGGTGAAAAATGAAGCTTGAAGTATTGGAGACATTTTGTCATCAATAAAAAAACATTTCAGGAAAAATTCCTTTAAATTACAGTAAAATGATTAATATGTATCTTATAAGTCTTTCTACAAAATGGTAATTTTATAATACAGAGGCAGAAATAAAAGCTTCTCTGAAGGCAAACAAACATATATATATCTCTGTGTGTGTGTGTGTGTCTGTGTGTATATATATAAAACATTTTAAAATGTAACACAGTCTCCTCCCAAATCAGCAGATTATTAATTTACCTAGTCATTCATTCATTCATTCTTTATTTCATTCAACAAGCATTTGCCAGGCATTTATCATATGTTTAGAACTGTGCTAGGCATTACACAGAGCAACAATTTTAAAAAGACAAGGCCCCTGTTTTCACATGGCTTGCCATTAACACATATGGGACAAGATGGGTTAATATGTAATAGGTTAAATATTCAGCTGGGTGTGGTGGCTCATGCCTGTAATCCTAGCACTTTGGGAGGCCAAGGTGGGTGGATCACCTGAAGTCAGGTGTTTGGGACCAGTCTGGACAACATGGTGAAACTCCGTCTCTTCCAAAAATACAAAAACTTAGCCAGGCATGGTGGCAATCACCCGTAATCCCAGCTACTCAGGAGGCTAAGGCAGGAGAATTGCTTGAACCCAGGAGGCAGAGGTCGCAGTGAGCTGAGATTGAGCCATTGCACTCCAGCCTGGGGAACAAGAATGGAACTCTGTCTCAAAAAAAAAAAGGTTAAATATTCATTTCTATCTTTTGCTTCTCAGAGAAGAAATTCTATGTTCAAGTATAAAAAAAATCATTAGATTATCACAATAGGAGTAAAGGGACCAGGAGCACATCATTTGTTATGTGCAGTTTTATAGTTGCCAGTAGCATTTTATAATTTGCACAGTGCTAATCAAATGTCAGCCAGCATGTTTTCAAAGGACACAATAAACTGTGTTAGTGGCTATAAAATTCACTAGTTCACAGGAAACAATTCTCTTCTCTAGATGGCTCTATATAATGAAACTACATCTTCTGTAATACATGTGATTCTTACAGGGTTCTGAAATCCAACTAGCTGTGGGTGACTGCTTGGATTATTTGCAGCTTCTTGGTTGCCGGCTACTGCCTCTGGAATTATGGTAGGATTCAAGACAGCTTTTTTCTCCTTTAGATTAAGAACCAACCCAAGCTCTGGCAAGGGTAAACAGGAAGGTCTACTGAGGCCAAAAAGTGTGAAGTACAAGTCCACAGCACCACACCGTAACCTCCAGTCATGTGAAGTACCTAAAAAGTACGTAATAAAGAATTAAGTCAACATGCACATTGATTCATACATTTTAACTGTCCCAGAACCTGTACAACAAAAGGAACTTTATAACTGGAAAAACCTTTATCACACCTTTCATCTTACAAAATGAATACTAGACATGAACCAAAAATCTAACATTCCAAAAATTGTCTTTTTTTTTTTTTTTTTTTTTTGTTGAGACAGAGTCTCGCTCTGCCGCCCAGGCTGGAGTGCAGTGGCCGGATCTCAGCTCACTGCAAGCTCCGCCTCCCGGGTTCACGCCATTCTCCTGCCTCAGCCTCCCGAGTAGCTGGGACTATAGGCGCCCGCCACCTCGCCCGGCTAGTTTTTTGTATTTTTAAAGTAGAGACGGGGTTTCACCATGTCAGCCAGGATGGTCTCGATCTCCTGACCTCGTGATCCGCCCGTCTGGGCCTCCCAAAGTGCTGGGATTACAGGCTTGAGCCACCGCGCCCGGCCCCAAAAATCGTATTTTTTGTAGCCTTAAATCTTCCTTTTTATTCTCTCTCCTCAGTAATTATCCCACATTCACTCATTCTCTGTTCATCTTGTCTGATTCTCTTCATTAACAGCCTGTTAGGAAGACAGCCTCCATGAGCCTTTACATTCCCTATCATGGAAACAAATTTTCTGATCTCTAGAACTTACTACTTTCAGGTTTTACATATAGTAAGAAACCATGCAACTACTATTGGACTTACTGAAGAGGAGGAAAATATTTTGCTAAACACCTTTATATTTGTGTTACTGTAGTGAGAACTTATTTCTGATTTTTAAATAACAGAAATAAGCAAACCACAAGCATGACAACGGGCAGTAGACATGGGCTTGACTAGAAAATAACTGCCTGGGTAGAAGTTCGGTTTCTCCTAGTTCAGACACTAGAGGCAAGTTCTTTCCATTTCTCTGAGTCTCAGTTTTTTCATCTCCAAAATAGGAGTTTTGGTCTCAAGTCATACCTTACCCCATAGCAATGACAGATCACAGCACATTGATACCAGGGTTTTTTCACCTTCCTTTTCTCCCCAGTAGAACACTCCAGTAGATATTGTCATCAAATAGACTGAAAAGATGAAATTTGTCAACTAGGATTACACAACCTCTATGGTTTCTAGTCAGAATTTTAAATGACTTGAAGAGTATAGAATAAGTGAAAAGAAGAAAAGTGGATATTCTTCTTGAGAAGAAAAATAAGCCCGGCCGGGCATGGCGGCTCATGCCTGTAATCCCAGCACCTTGGGAGGCCGAGGTGGGCAGATCGCTTGAGCTCAGAAGTTAAAAACAAGCCTGGGCAACATGGCGAAGCCCTCTCTCTACTAAAAAACACAAAAATTAGCTGGGTGTGGTGGCGCATGACTGTAATCCCAGCTACCTGGGTGGGGGAGGCAGGAGAATCGCTTAAACCCAGGAGGCGGAGGCTGCAGTGAGCCAAGATTGCACCACTGCACTCAAACCTGGGCAACAGAGTGAGACCTTGTCTCAAAAAATAAAGAAAGAAAGGAAGGGAGAGACGGAAGGGGGGAAGGAAGGCCCTATAAATGCCTAATTTTTACCAAGAACTGTTGTTTCAAAAGAGTACCACATTTAAAAAGGAGAAACAAAAAGGAAAAAATTTGGATATCATAAATATTAAACTTTGTGGTTGTCAACAACAAATATTGGTATAAGTAAATACATTATCAACTAATAGTAATTCTCATCACATTTACTCTAACAGGTAGCTATTAATTATATGCAAATCTGCAACAGGAAAAATTGTAAATTCACTTTCATACTAGAGAGTGCATTGTACTAGGCCACTGTGCATGCTATAATGTTGTGAAACAGCTCTCATCATTCCTACTTGAGACATTTTCAGTTTTGCTGCTGTGTGACATATAACACTGGCAGAAGCAAGAGAGAGGCAAGAGCTACAGAGAACCAAGTAATGGAAAAAAACATGACACAGTAAAAGCAAGAATTTTACATTGGAAACCCATTTTCTCTTCCTGGAATATGCATATGTGGACACTTCAACAGCTTGAGGTAGTATTATTTTGTAGGCATTCATTTCTCCTCCTCAAAGCATTTTACATATATAGACGCTCCACAGAGAGGAGGTTATCAGATTCCTGGGGGCTTCTATTAGCAAAGGCTAGACGGTCTCAACCCTCTGAGGGAAGGGAAGAAATGCCAGGAGTAAGCAATCCAGAGCAGCTGTATCTCTCTATCCACGGGTATAACAAGAAAAGGAGTGAATCTTAACCATTTTATCAGTTAAAAGAAAAAAAAAATAGAACAGTTTAGAGTATATTTGCTGTTTGGAAGAAAATTAAACCTTGAAGATCAATATTGCTTAATCATGTGTGTGCAAAAACCAGCCTGAACTTTTATATGCTGTCGAAGATCTCAAAATGAGTCATTCAATTGTGAATTCCTTAACATTTAAAAATATATATGTTAATTTTAAAAGACAAATTGAATATGTGTATTTTGATGAGCTAGGGCTTTTATTTGGTTTTGGAACATCAGCTTAAGGATGATTAGGCAGCACAGTAAAGGCTGCTAAGTGCACTGAAGCCCTCCAATATGATTTTGGTTACTTTTTATTTCTATGTGGGTTTTTGGTTTTGCTAGACTTCTAATTTGGACAAAGGAATGGACACCACTGTTTTGTTCCTGAGGGAGGTTCTTGATAGTGTTTTCTGTCTCCTAAAAATGAACTTACATATTAAAATTGGGGACTACAAGGGAGCTAAAAAATGAATAGCAGTACTTTTGTTAAAATTACAAGAGAGAGCAAAAAAATAGAGATAAAAGCCAAAATTTCATTGTATTTCAAAATCATGGAATAAAATCTTAAGATGGTTGTCACGTTAGTACGTTAGTATATTTCAATTAAGTTGAGAGACAGAATGGGAGAAAAACACTTCTAATTAATTGCCTGTTAGCTCTGTGACCTTGGGCAAGTCAGCTGTCTGGGCTATAACTGAGATGATTAGAGTAGTTCACTCAGATGATCTTTAAGACCCCCTCATCAGGTCTAAAATTCGATGATTCCAAGTCAATCAATCCCATTAGAGAGAGGCCCTGAAACAGCCTCTGATTTCTGCCTTCAGTTACAGTATTCTGAAGACCCATCTTTAATCTTCCAGCTACCTCCCCTCTCCCCATCACTTATGGCAACGAATGATCACATACGACAAAATAACAGTCACTAGTCTCTCCTCCCAGGAAAATTGCTATTCATCCTGTCTTCATTAGCAGTTATACTCTGAGACCAACCCTGTTTATCTGAATCAGAACAACAACATTCAAGAAGTAAGAAACCCAGTATTAATGTTGTCTATTCAAATCAGAAAGTGCCTTGAGACAAACACCACCAAAATAGTAAATCTGATCCTACCGAAAAATCATCTCTTCATTTTCTGAGGTAACTAATATTAAAATTGATCAACTAGGCCGAGGCGGGAGGATCACGAGGTCAGGAGATCGAGACCATCCTGGTTAACACAGTGAAACTCAGTCTCTACTAAAAATACAAAAATTAGCTGGACGTGGTGGTGGGTGCCTGTAGTCCCAGCTACTCAGAGGCTGAGGCATGAGAATGGCGTGAACCCGGGAGGCGGAGCTTGCAGTGAGCCGAGATCGTACCACTGCACAACAGCCTGGATGACAGAGTGAGATTCCATCTCAAAAACAAACAAACAAACAACTGATCAACTAAAAAAGCTGCTAAGAAGAAAACTCACTTTGAAAGCCACTGTTTTCAGGACACTTCTGAATAAATCCAGCACTCTTTATTGATGACTGAAGCTTAGAAATTTGTACACAGTTAAGCCAGAAATACAATTTCCACTGGGTATTACTATCCTGACTGTTCTGTCCATCTTACAATTAAAAAAACAGCAAATTCATTTCTATTTATGTGTGTGTGTATACATATATAATTTCCTAAGCAGATGAATCAATATGTTTTAATTTTCTTCCACCATTTCCATTCCTAAGAAGGAAGGTATTAGGGAGAGAGAGATGGTGGGACAGAACTTTGAAACCTTTTGATGTTAATATCAAAACTGTTTATTTTCTTACTCTGAAACCTAGCAAATCCTATCAAACCGAATTAGAAGTTGTCCCTCATTCTACCCCCTTGAGTGTAGCTGTAAATTTCCAAACACTAAAAATTATGATGTAAATAAACAGCATTCAATGACTTGAACAATTCATGTTTTCATGTCATTCTTATAGTAATATGCCAGACACTAAAGGTCAATGTGGAAGCAACAGTTAAAATTTCCTTCATAATGATAAAGAGTCAAAGATACTATCTCCTCAATGAAGATCTGTTTCTTCAGATATTAAAAAAACACCCAATTAGGCAAGACCAGCAAAAGTATTTATGTCTTAAATTAAATATGAAGCACCAATAAAAATCTCCAATTCTTAGGTTTTAATTTTTTAATGTATTTTAAAATTACTGTTATTTTGGCCTGTAATTCAGTATCTTACTTAATAAAGGCAGGATCATATATGTTCTGAATTTTGATACATATTCCTTTGGAAGAGGAAAATCATTTCTTTGTGTGGAAAAAAGCTACCACACACAGCTAACCAAAGTCAGCCTGGTTCTAACAACACCTGTTCCTCATTGCCCAGAGCATAAAACCTAAACTCCCCAGTCCCTTCGCATTTAGATTCTAATCTATCTTTCCAGATAATACTATTTTCTCAACACTCCTTCAGAACATGAGGCTTTTATATATATAATTCTACCACCTCAAAATGTATTTATCCTGCTGGAAAACTCCTTTCCATTCATTAAGAGCTAGCTCAAATACTACCTCTCCATGAACTTTTTAGTATTCCAGACAGGGTTCATGGCTCCTTTCTTTGGGTTCCCCAAATAGTTTGTTCTCTTTAGCAACTATCTCTTCATATTATAATTTATCTGTTCCTATGTCTCTCTTTCCATTATACTTAGTTAATACACAGAAAACGTAGCATAGTGGCAAATAGAAAGTGCTCAAGAAAAAACTAGTGAATTAATATGTGAAACCTTTAAAAATGACTGCCCCTGGCAAATATTTTCAATTAAACATAAACCTATTTATTTAAGAATCTTAAGCAACCATGGACAAAGACCATATAATGTAAAAGATCCTTGTCTTTAAAAATGTTTACTATATTTCTGTGGAGCATTAATTTAAAAGCTGTGATGGGAATTGCAAGGAGCATTTTTGGAAACAACTTGGGAACTGTGAATATGGGCTATATACTGGGTGGGGTTTGATGATCATATTGTGGATATGTACAATGACCTTATTCTCAGGAGTATATACTATTGGGAAGAGGATCATGATGCCATTTATTTTCAAATGATTCAGAAAAAAACAGGGTATAAATATAATATAAAGAAACAGAAGGAAAGGAGATAAAGTAAATGGTAAAATTTTAACTGGTGAATCAAGCTGAAAGTATATGATTATGCATTGTATTATTCTTTAAACTTTTAAGCTTTAAAAATTTTAAAAACAAAATGCTGAAGATAAACATGTATATGAAAAATTAAACTACATACAGAATGGGTTAAGATATCTGACATGTGTATGAGTGAATATACACATATATAGGTCGGTGTGTGTATATATTTACAAAGCAAAAACTGTTGGAAAGATACTAGAGTACCTCCCAGAATTTAAGGCTAAGTGGAGTTACTACACACCAAGAAACACGCAGAAACCAGGCAGCCCTGAGATCTCAAAAAGTTTAAGTCTGACAGCCTTCCCTCTGGGGTATGGTCACTAAAGTGATTCAGCTACCAAGAGTCCTCAGTTTCTGTACCAGTCTCTCAGCTCCAAATTCCCCTAGAATATTTCTAAAATGAGTACTAGTATTAACTGAATGGCATATGAATTTTTAAAAGTCATGAGTATCATTCTGTCTCACTCTCAAATTGATTTCAATTTTTGAAATCCTGCTTCTGTAAGCCCAACCACAATTTCTCTCTCTTGTTGAAAAGTTTCTGATTCTTCAGAATAAGAAAACAAACTCTAATTCTTCAAAAGCACATGATAAGATGATCCTTCTGAACAGCCATGATATTCTCTCCTATATATTTTAAATTGGTTCAGTAAATTTTGTAACTAGGTGAAGTCAATATACCTCAAATCCACTTTGTAGAAAGAGAGAAATAAATGAATATAATTACATCTGCATTGTTCACAGTTTTTGTTTCCCAGATAATGCTTATCTCAAGTGACTAGATAGCCCAGAAGCCCCAAAATGAGGAGCAGGCAGGGTTCCACTGGATTTGGGGACCTAGATGATGTTCTAGTTCCTTTTGTTATTGATGAACCCTCACTACCATTTCTTAAAACAATAACCATTAAGAATATAGCAATGTGAAAAATTCTCATGGTAAAATGCTGTTTTAAAACTTTTATTTCAACTATAACTATGTAACACAACACACACACACAATTATTTTTTCCTAAAGGCCAAATATACCCAAATCTTAATAGTGTTGATGTAACAGAATTATGTAATATTTCCTTTCTTTGTAGTTTTTTCAGATAAACTCTGTAACATGATTATATTACTTTTACCATTAATGATTTTTTAATCAAATAAAAGAAGGATTTCTTAGATCACATTCATTCATTTATCCCAAAGGTTCAGACTTGGAAAGGAAATGACAATTCTCTCTTGTCCATCTTCACTATCTACTGTCCAGTGTTCTAGAAAAACATTTTTTTAACCCTCCCAATTATTCATGCCACTCCCATTGTTCATACTATTCCATTTATAAATCTGAAAAACTGAGTAATAAACTGTTTATGACTATAGCCTCACTGATCTCACTGGTTTAGATATTGGCAGAGAATTTTAAACCAAAGCAGAACTGTACTACACTGCACACTATTAAAATTAAATACTAAACATCAGCCAGAACTTGCATTCATATAATCAAACCTTCCAATGAGCTTCAAATGTTTTATAAAAATTGTCTCATTAATCTTGAACACATATTTATTTTGTCCAAAACATCTTCTTTAGAAAATAATAAAAGAATTCTTCATATTTCACTATGCTTTCTTTAAATTTGTAACTTATCATGATCAAGGAATCATGTATTCTGGTTAAGAAGATATTCAATACAGCAGAGTTACTGCCACATATGAACTGCTGAATGAACCTTTGTAAGTTCCTGAACTTACGTGTTAATACCCTGGGTCTAAATAGCACAAATAATAATATCTTTTAAGGTAGCCAAAGGTAGCAAATATAAAACATTATGTAAAAAGCAGCAATTATTCTTTCAGAGATTAAAGAAAACATTAGGAAAAAAAGAAGCAATATTTTAGTAGAAACTGGTTTTATGTGTTGTTTTCTAAAGACCTTGAGGACAAGGTTCATCCTATTTTCAATTTCATTATATTTCACATAAATATCTACTATGGTGTCTTTACTTGGTGGTATTGCACTATTATTATGAAACCGAAAAACAGAAGTTATACAACCACTTAACATCTCAATATTAGTGAACTAAGTAATAAAATAAAAGAATTAAAATTTGGTATTTAATTGTGAGTCAGTGAAGTAGCTACTAATGAGACAGGCAGGACAAGTTATTTTCCAATATTATAAAGAGCAAATAAAGTGACGTACTCAAAACTTTTAAATATTTGGATAGGCCAGGTATGGTGGCTCACGCCTGTAATCCCAGCATTTCCGGAGGCTGAGGCGGTGGATCACAAGGTCAGGAGTTCGAGACCAGCCTGGCCAACATGGTGAAATCCCGTCTCTACTAAAAATACAGAAATTAGCTGGGCACTGTGGTGGGCGCCTGTAATCCCAGCAACTCGGAAGGCTGAGGCAGGACAATCGCCTGAACTTGGGAGGCAGAGGCTGCAGCGAGCTGAGATCGTGCCATTGCACTCCAGCCTGGGCAACAGAGCAAGACTGTCTCAAAAAAAAAAAAAAAATTGCATAAATATCCACTGCTCTCCCACTATCTATCTGCAACAACTCTTGCTATCTTTAAGCAAAACACATTTCAGCCTAGCTTTTGATTGAATCTTTAAACCAAAACCATTATTACCATTTCAACCTATCACAGACATAAGGCAATTTTTCTTTAAATATACACATTTATAAATCAATAGAAAAGAATCAATAATTCAATTAAATAAAATGGCAAAGAATATGAATAACCTGCCAAAATAGAAATACAAATAGCTCAAATATATGAGAAGCATAACTATCATTATACTAGTATAACATTTTTGAGTATTCAATATGAGCCAGACACTGTGTTTTACAAATACTAATTTAATTCGATTTGAAGTAGGTATCATTATCACCTACATTTTACAAATGACAACAGTTCAGACAAATCACACAATAAATAAATTCAACCCTTTGCAAAGTGGTTCCAGAGCTAGCACTCCTAAGCACTGTTTCTTAGCTCTTGACCTCACTCAAGTAATGTAAATTAAAACTGTGACAAGGTTGGGTGCAGTGGCTCACGCCTGTAATCCCACCACTTTGGAAGGCCAAGGAGGGTGGGTCACCTGAGGTCAGGAGTTTGAAACCAGCCTGGCCAACATAGTAAAACTCTGTCTCTACTAAAAATACAAAAAGTAGTCAGGCATAGTGGCGCATGCCTGTAATCCCAGCTACTTAGGAGGGTGAGGCAGAAGAATCACTTGAACCTGGGAGGTGGAGGTTACACCACTGCACTCCAGCCTGGGCGACAGAGACTCTATCTCAAAAAAATAAAAATAAATTAAAAAATAAAAACTGTGATGAGATATCATGATCTCCACAGTACAGAACAATAACAGTAAGTACTTTGAAAAAATACAGTCTGTATGTTATTCTATATGCACTGACTGCCTCTGGAAGGATACACAAAAAATTGGTTACCTCTGGAAAAGGCCACTAGATGGTCAGGGAAAGACGTGAGAAGACATAATAATAATACTTTGCAGGCTGATGTTTATAGCACCTTAACCATTTGACACTTTCATATAAATAAATATTTTTGTTTCCTCAACCACCCTATGGAGTAAAGTGAGTATCCTTAATAAATGTTATCACAGCCACCACTGTGAAGGTGTGATAGTCTACTTAAAAGAAAAAAAAAAATCTCAACTTTTACCTTTAGTTCTAAATGCTACTGAATTGAAAACCTGTTGTAAAATCAAACTACTCTAATAACAATAATAAAAAAAATTTAAATCACTGCTCTCTCACCAGAATTCATAAGTTTCCAAAGTTGATCTACCAGGGCTTCATTGCATAAGGGAGACTCCATGTTCTTAGTAAATGGTGGGTTCTTAGTCAACATGTTGAGAATCTTATGCCTGAAAGATTAAAAAAAAAAATCAAATTTTCGCTGACCATTTACTGACAGATGCTATGAGTAGGAGACACCATGAACATTGAAAAATTATCTGTAGTTTCTCCTTCCTATTTTATCACTTTCTCTCTTAAATCTTGCTTTGCGTTTATTTAGTTTAATTTCCAAAGACACCATGTCACATCCTGAATATTTACTACTTGTTTTTTCACTGAAACACTCTGGGGTTTGGATAAGAGAGTAATTTAAAAAAATTCTGGTGGATTTGGTCTTTCTAAAATCACCTTACTGTGTGATGAGATCTTCTAAAACCTGACTCCACATAATCCTAACCAATCTTTCCCATCCCACTTTCTAAAATGAACATTCCACTCTGCTTAGATATATGTACAATGATTGGTAAGTATAAAAATCTTAACACAGAGCAAAAAAATCTATATATAGACCAATAAGTCTATATTCGAGATAATAAAATGAACATATATGTGATTACTATAGTATATTTGTAAAACATGGAAATGTGCAGAAGTATTTTAAATATAAAGACTGTAAAAAGTTTTCCTTAAAACAAGCTGAGGTTGAGAAGAGTATCCTACTAGAGGGTAACATTTAAACTCTACTACTGGGAGTTTTTATCTCATATGAGAGGCTACCTGAACATATTATGGAGTTCTCTAAAATATAGGGCAATGCAATGAAAACAAAATTTGGAAAAGAAAACATCCACTGCTATGAGTAGAAGACACCATCAAAGGCTAGAGAAAAGAAAGGAGAAGAAACCTACTGCAGTAGTCTAGCATTTAATGAAAGCATCAACATCAGCTCTAGGACCAAGTTTGAGAAATTACTAAGAGTAACTGCAATGCTTGGATATAAGTGAGGGAGAAAGAAATTGGGTTGTAATTCTTATGGAGGTTGGCAAAACTTTAAAGAAGGTGAATTGGGGAAATTTTTACATTTAATTGATGGTAGTAAGACATCAAATTGGATTTGTAATTGAGAAAGAGATGGGAGAAAAGTGAAACTGCCAGATTGTAAATAATTTAACCCCTTTTGGCTGCAATTTAATGTCTATAAACCTAAAAGATGTAGATTCTGTTAACATCCTCTTGGGCTTTGAAATTTAAGACTGTGTAAAATAAGACTACTGAAAGGTTTTAAGAATAAAAGTGAAATGTAATTACAGAATGCAATTTACAGATAGGTAATATAAATGGCGATATAAATCTTTATGGATATTTCATATCCATATTTTCATCTTTATATATAAACACAATTCCTCTCCTTCAGGCCTCATACTCTATTTGTAAGAGCCGATCAGTAATATAGGTAAATAACATATTTCAAAATGTGAGTTTATTCTTTATTGCATTTTAAGTTGTTATACTTTTAATTTGCTTGAAGAAGAAAAGTGAAGTTTCTGTCTGGCTGCTTTCCAAGTCACCCAAATTACTCTAAATGCCAAGTAAGGTCTGCTAATAATTATTTTATTTTATTATTTTATTTTTTTTTTAGCTGAGTGCAGTGGCTCACGCCTGTAATCCTAGCACTTTGGGAGGCCCAAGGGGGTGGATAACTTGAGGCCAGGAGTTCGAGACCAGCCTGGCCAACATGGCAAAACTCCGTCTCTATTAAAAATACAAAAATTAGCCAGGTGTGGTGGTGCATGCCTGTAATCCCAGCTACCGGAGAGGCTAAAGCAGAAGAATCGCTTGAACCCGGGAGGCGGAGGTTGCAGTGAGCCGAGATCACGCCACTGCACTCCAGCCTGGGCCAGAATGAGACTCCATCTCAAAAAAATTTATGTTGAAAATCAAATTTAAAAAGGACATGAATAAATGCAAAAGATATTTCCATATTTTCAAAAATCATAAACAAGCATTTTATGCTTAATCTGAAATTACTCAGTTCATTATAGGACTTACAAAATATCATAGCATCATAGCACATACACTAACCTTACATAGGGTACAGGGTCATTCTGAATCATATTAAGTAGCCATTGAAGTTCTTCATAACTTCTGTCCACTGAAAATAAAAGAAAATATATTTGTTGTTAATTATACCAAATAAAATAATGAATAATGAGTGATAAGCAGGGAGTTTACATTTAATATTTAGGACTCTGCCTTAGCTGAGTTTTCAATCAGAGTTGAAGGTTACAGGTAAGCTCTTACATTTTTATGCAATGGGCCACTTTGTAAGTTTTATAAGTATCAAGCTATATATTAGAGCCAAGACATAAAGTTGCATCAAGAATATATTTTTTTACTAAAGTTCAAACCAATGGCAAGCATAACATAAAGCAAGTTGTAATTAAGAACCCTAAATTACAGATGATTAACTGGACAAAATCTGTTTAAATACAATTGTTTTCCTAGATGCCTAAATGATGGAGAGGTTTGACACTCAATGGTATCTCAACTATATTATATAGTATAGTCCACTGTTTTTGCCCAAGTGGTTTCTTCCATTTAAGACTAAAGAACAGTTTTACTTTTCAAGCATAATATAAAAGGCAGTTACAAAAATAGTGCTACGAATATAGTTGACATAAAATGACTAGCTATTTCCATTCACCTTTTCAAACAAGTTTTGCTTTCATAATTTGAAAAGCTGCGTCTTCAGAATTTTATTCGCAATACTTTTCATTTCTTCCATTTTCTAACTTGAGTATCAATATTTAAATTTACAATTTAACAAAACATGAAGTCTAAAGTCATAGTTCACATTTAGACATGAACAAAAGTGAAATGTAGATTCACATTTCACAATTAAATTATATCTAAGTTTAGCATTCTTTTGAAAATCCTAATATTAGTATTCTATTTCATTTCAGGTAGTACAAGTTCATAAAATCTTACTCATATTTACGAGACATTAAAAACCATTCATACATCTTGGGAAAGACTGGCAACAATGGCATATTTGGTGGATCTCAAAACTTGTCAAAACAGAAATGGAGACGGATATAGGATTACATTTTCTTTCATGCCAAAAAATACATTTAACAACAAAATCACTGTTTTCATAATTATTTCTAACAGGAAAGGATATTTTAAACCTTCAATAAAAACGAAGCACAAATGACAGTCCTTTTCGAAGTTAGATCAACACATAAGAATATACACATTATGTTATTACTCTTTATTTTCTGACTGTAAACAAGTATTTCTACAGAAATTTACCAAAAATTACAAAGATTTGAGTATACTTTTCCCTACTTAAAAATGGACCAGTATCTACTGAAGAACTTCTCTCAGCCCTTCTTCTCCTTCCACAGTCAGACGAAAGTTTAGCATATTTTAAGTTTTTTACTCCTCTCATATTTTAGTGCTAGAATCTAGAATTTTAGACTTAGATTACATTTACATGTTTCTTCTATTTTCATAATTTTTTAAAATTATTTTTGAAATACACATTAAATTTTACAATCAGTTTAACAAATATTTAAGCTTAAGTATTTGACAGGCATAGTTATTCATCACCAGTTCTTTCATTTCACATTTTCACCAGTCTTGAGTTATTATTTTGACTCACATCCAGGTCAGCTGAAAATTATCTTTGGGAGTTATGTTTTTAAGAATGTTACATAAGAGATGCAGTTCTAATTCTCCAAGGCTACATGAGCAACACAACTTTGGCAAGGCAGAAAATCTTGGGGCATAATTTTCCCTAATAATGACATAGCCATTTGTTCACTGTCTTTTGATTCTTCATATTCTAAAGAATTCAGAGGCCATACTATTCTTTTGCCTTGTACAATAATCTGGTTCTGATAGTCCTAGAAACTCACACATTTTCCCTTAGCCTTAAAAATTAAAATTTCATCAGAAACTATTATAGGTCTGCTTCATTTACACAGTCCCAGAGTATTCTGTTATTTCTTAGATTACTGCTCGTCTTCTACCTGCTCTATTCTTCATGAATTTTTAACATTTCCATCTCTGTATTCTTCTCCCCTAAATAAAAAAAAATATATATATATATGTGTATTCTTCTCTTAGCGATTTTTTGGCCTTATGTTTTTTCCATATTCATGATGCCTTGCCTAATTCCTCTACTGAAGTTTGTGTTTATGTCTAATCCTCTACCTTCACAGACACAAATTTTTACACAGGTGTGAGATGTTTTCTTGAATCCTTCATAGAAATTTCCCCAAAATCTTCTATTTCCTAAAATAACATCCAATTAAAGCTACAGGATGAACACTGACTTCTTGGAAAGGCTAAAGATGCCTATAATTTTATTCCTTTCCCTCATTTATTAACCGTTATGTGAATTCTACATTTATCAAAGATGATTTCTAAATCACTGAGTCAAGAATTTAAAATTAAAATATCTGTACTGTACTATTATGAAAACCCCAATAAGTAACACAGGCTTTAAAAAGTAAATATTTCTTTCTAAAATGATAAAAGCATGTATTTCTAAAGTATTACCTTTAGTATAATCAACAACTGCTTCCAAAGCTGCTATCCTAATGTCCACAAAGTGGCCATATTCAGCATAAGATTTAAAAAGAGCTGGATCACTTGGCACATGTCCGTTTTTCTGAAGTACCCGTATGGCTCTCAAACAACTAGGGAAAAAAATACGCATGTTAACTACTTTCACTGAGGTATTATGAATCAATTTGTTTCCTAGACATTAGAGATTCCTTTGTGGCAATCAATTTAAAAACTGATGTGATTTTAATCCACCTTCAATTTTGTAATAGAGTCACATGCCACATAAAAGACATCTTAGTCAATGATGAACTGCATATACAATGGCGGTTTAATAAGCTAAAATTAATTTATCACTGAAGAAAAAATGTTTTTAATATATTTAGTGTAGTCTAAGTCCACAGTGTTTATTATGTCCACTGTAGTATACAATAATTATGTCCTACACCTTCACATTCACTCACTACTCACTCACTGATAAATCCACAGCAGCTTCCAGGCCTGCAAGCTCCATTTATCTTATGATAAATGTCCTATACGGGGGTACCATTTATTATCTTTTACACCATATTTTTACCATACCTTTCATATGTTTGGATATGTTTAAATATGTAAGTACTTACCATTGTGTTATCAATTACCTACGATAGTCAGTATAGTAACATGCTATACAGCTTTATAGCCTAAGAGCAACAGAGCAATAGGCTATACCATAAAGCCCAGGTATACAGCAGGCTACACCATTTGGTTTGTGTAAATATACTCTATGACATTTGCATAAACAACAAAATTGCCTAATGACTCATTTCTCAGAACATACGCCTGTTGTTAAGTGACATATAACTATAATAAATTTTTGCAATGATAAAAATTCAAAATTAATATCTAAATTCTGTTAAAAGAAAACAAATTCCAGCCGGGTGTGGTGGCTCACGACTGTAATCCCAGCACTTTGGGAGGCCAAGGTGGGTGGATCACCTGAGGTTGGAAGTTCGAGACAAACCTGACTAACACGGTGAAACCCCATCTCTACTGAAAATACAAAAATTAGCCAGGCATAGTAGTGCATGGCTGTAATCCCAGCTATTCAGAAGGCTGAGGCAGGAGAATCACTTGAACACGGGAGGCGGAGGTTGTGGTGAGCCATTGCACTCCAGCCTGGGGAACAGGAGCAAAACTCGGTCTCAAAAAAAAAAAAAAAACCAGAAAGAAAAAAAGAAAACAAATTCCCAAACTCAAAGTTTCAAGTGTCATTATACTTGTAACAGGAATAGTTTTCAGAAAAAGAAGTATTTAACATAAAATATAATTTAAATATTTTCTCCAAATGTTTTAGTAATATATTCGCTATATGAAAAGTTAAAATTGTTTATGTTTGAATCAACTTTGAGCAAACTCTTAAACTGGCAGAACTTCTTGACAGCCATATAAAGCTGGTAAAAGTGAAAAGTCATCTTAAAAAAAGGCTAACAGCCGGGCGCGGTGGCTCAAGCCTGTAATCCCAGCACTTTGGGAGGCCGAGACGGGCGGATCACGAGGTCAGGAGATCGAGACCATCCTGGCTAACATGGTGAAACCCCGTCTCTACTAAAAAATACAAAAAAAACTAGCCGGGCGAGGTGGCGGGCGCCTGTAGTCCCAGCTACTCGGGAGGCTGAGGCAGGAGAATGGCGTAAACCCGGGAGGCGGAGCTTGCAGTGAGCTAAGATCCGGCCACTGCACTCCAGCCTGGGAGACAGAGCGAAACTCCGCCTCAAAAAAAAAAAAAAAAAAAAAAAAGGCTAACAATAGAGAATGTTTATACAAAATCCAACGGGAAAAAAAGAGTATGCAGACATCAAAGCAATGCTTATGAAGAATTTGTGATGACATGAGAAAATATTTATGATATAAACAATACAAAAACTACATATACAGTATAATCTCAAGTAATTAAAAATTTATGTAATTAAAGAGAGAAAAAATTTATAAGGACATTCTCCAAATACTAATAATTTATCTGTGGGTGGTAGAATCACACAGAATTTTAGTTTTCTCCTTTACTTTACTATATTTCCCAATTTTCTACAATGAAAATAAATTTCTTTTATAGTTATAAGAATAAGTTTAAAGTAAGGAATTTAATCCTACCTGACAGTGATGGTATGTCTATAACTCGGAAGAAGTTTTTCCATATTCAAAAATCTGGTGATTTCTTCAAGAATGAGTCGCACATCAGGATTTAAGTTATCCAAAGTTCTAACTTCATTATTCACACTGACTGCAGGTGTAACAGAGTTGGCCAGGGCATCAATCATTTCTGCACGATAATAGTTATCTGAAAACTAGGCCAAAGAAAAATTAAGCGAAGATAACAAAATTAACTCTTCTGATCAAAATTAACAAAATAAAATTTGTACAATTATATTTTAGATAAAATAAAATTTTTCCCAAAACACAAGCAAGTCCTCTGGTAAATATTCAACTCCACCCTTTGCATACAGTCACTCTGAAAACAGTGAAAGAGATTCACTATAACGATACATTAGCTTACTGAATAAATACTCACTACTTCTCAGGTACTCTTACAGTAACTTAGCCAGATACTTCTAAAAGGAGACTACAGTATTGCTATAACACAGTTTCAAATTCGATGCTATACTTTAACATATTAACACACAAGCAATGATCATCAGATATTTGAAGGAAGCATCAAAATAAAAAATAGACACCAGAACAAAGACCAAAAAAAAAAAAAAAATCCAAAAACAAAAAACAAAAAACCAACATGGAAGAAACAGAGAATTCAAGGAAAAGAAAACCAGTAGGGAACAAAAAAATTTAAAAGCTATCATTAATATTGTCTGAGAAATAATCAATTAAGGTATGCCTTCCAATAGCATAACATTATTTTAAAAAGAAAGAAACATGCAGGAAATAAGGATCAAAATTAAATTGGAATATAAAACAGAAAAAAGAATCCCAAAGTTTTCAGCAAAAAAAAAAAAAGAGATAGAAAATAGGAGGGAAAGCATAAGGAAACTGGAGGGTTGATGTGGGAGTTCCAGCCAGAGAAGCAGAAAAGAGAAGGAAGCCATTAAAAAAAAACAAATCCTAATCTATATGGCAGTCAATTCTCACAGAAGCAATTTATTGAAAAGTGACCTGGATGTGGCTTGATTTATACTCAGCAAATCAGATGCTGTGGCCTGGGAAATTCAACACGGAGCAAGCAAATGAATTCTATCAGCATGCTGAGAATATTTTGTGCTAACACAAACTGCCAAGGGACTGGAAGAAGAATACCTGCCCCCTTTTGATTTCTACTGTGGAGGCAGAAGCTCACATTGACACACATATTGCACAGTCCCTAAACATTTTTATGTTCAAATACGGGGCAGGAAAAAAAAAGAAGGCACATACAAACAAACACCACCAAAGAAAAAATACCCCAAAAGTATTCACTATAAAGTTTTGCTTTCAGACCACTAGAATGATTGAAATTTTAATTTCTATAGCTTCAGTTTACTGGAACCACAGAAAACAATCATGTGACTTTGGGTAACTCAAGATCTTAACTTTTATAAGCCTCAATCTTCTCACATGAAAACTGGGACAATAATAGTATTTAAGGCTGGAAGTGGTGGCTCACGTCTGTAATCCCAGCACTTTGGGAGGCAGAGGTAGGCGGAATACTTAAGGTCAGAGGTAGGTGGAACACTTAAGATGGGAGTTAGAGACCAGCCTGGCTAACAGGGTGAAACTCCATCTCTACTAAAAATACAAAAATTAGCCAGGTGTGGTGGCAGGCGCCTGTAGTCCCAGCTACTCGGGAGGCTGAGGCATGGGAATCACTTGAACCCAGGAGACAGAGGTTGTAGTGAGCCGAGATTGCACCACTGTACTCCAGCCTGGGTGACAGAGCAAGACTCCATCTCAAGTGAGCCAAGACTGCACCACCGCACTCCAGCCTGGGTGACAGAGCAAGAATCTGCCTCAAAAAATAATAATAATAGGCCAGGTGTGGTGGCTCACACCTGTAATCTCAGCACTTTGGGAGGCTGAAGCAGGCAGATCACATCAGGAGTTTGAGACCAGCCTGACCAACATGGTAAAACTCTGTCTCTACTAAATACAAAAATTAGCAGGGTGTGGTAGCACATGCCTGTAATCCCAGATACTTGGGAGGCTGAGGCAGGAGAATTGCTTGAACCTGAGAGGCGGAGGTTGCCGTGAGCTGAGATTGCACCACTGCACTCCAGCCTGGGCAGCAGAGCGAGACTCCATCTCAAAAAAATTAAAATAAAATAAATAAATAAATATAGTATTTATTTCAGCGGTCTGGTGGGGATATTAGATCATCTATGTTTTGGCATAAGGCATGGAACACACAAGAACTTAGTAACTATTAGTGTTACCTATTGTAGTTATTATTTGCATTTATGTTATCCTTAGTATTCTGAGGTACTAAGTCATACAAAACTACTTAATTTACAGCATCTGACTATAAAAACTGATAAGCCTTCTTTTCAAAATGAAAACATAATGAGCCTTACAACAATACTGAAGTATAAAATTTAATAATATACCAGTGTGTGCCACACAAAATCATAAATGATGACAAGCATAATGGCATGCTGTAAGGTAGCATGGTAATACTAAAAACATCACCACACAAATGGGTAGCAGGGCCTTACAGCACAATTCCCAGATTACATTCCCTGTGTAATTTTAGACTCTCAATTTCTGTGTCTTACTTTTGTCAAACAAGGGTTGACAAACACCTTAAACCACAGGAATAGGCACATTTCAAAGAATTTAAGGTGAGTAAAATCACTATACAAATTAGAAAGTAGTATAAAGGAATTAAATTATATAAACACTCCACAAAAAAAATGACATAATGTATAAAACATTTTCCTTTTCCATTTGACTATAATGTGATTTGCCACCATCCTAAATTCTAATTTCTTCAAGTAAAAGAAATTCAAGTATTGGGGAAAAAAGGAACACTAAAAATTAAGGCCAAAATAAACTAGCAGACTAGGAAGGAAAGAATCTTACCAAAATGCTTTTAATTAATGTTTTTATTTAAAAAATACATATTTTAAATCCAGAAGGCAGAAGGTCAGGTATAACAGTTCTCAAAGGAAATAAAACATCTGGTTATTGAGAGGAAATTTAAATCTAATTATCTCCCTTGTTGTGTTTTTGCTATTATACAATGTAATAAGTTCTGTGGGCTTTCTGATTAAAGGAGAGAAATTAAATACTTCCTAAATAGTAGCCAGATATGATTGAGAAAGTGACTGTGACACACAGACACAATTAAATGAATACATAAATATAGGCATCTAGTACTTGTTAAGTGTTCTGGAGGCACAGAGATAAGATGACTTCTTCAAGACAAGAACTAGTTTATTTGCAAGCAAAATAGAAAACAAGAGTAAGAAGACAGGAAAAGTAATCAAATTGTTCCAGGAGTCAAGAAAACGAAACAAAATGAAACAATGCATCCTATCAGGAGGATATACTGATCTTAGAAAAATAAGGAGTTTTTCAATAGGTAGAGGAAGGAGAAAGGCGCCCTTGCGTTAAGGAGACAACATTAACAAAAGGACAAGAGGCATGAAAATGCAGTGTGTTAAAGGAAGAGAAAAGTTACTGATGCAACTTCACAGAAAAGATGTGCAAAGCTGGAGACGTGGACTGGGACCACCAACATTCAAAATGTTTTTGAATGCCATGCATAAATTTACTTATAAGCACTGCACAGTCTTTGAAGGTTTTTAAGGAGGGAATTTTTATAAGGAGGAAAGAAACTCAGGTGGGCTCCATCACAAAGACTACTCTGATTTAACTACGACAATATTTTAAGAGGAAAGGTATTGGGATATTAAGCTAGGAATGATGATAATGTTGCAATTGCTAATGATAGGCAAAATAACTGGAGGGATTCTTCTAAGTGCTATATATGTATTATCTTGTGTAATCTCCATAAAAATCTTATGAGATAGAGGTACTATTAATAACACCCTTTTTCTTAATAGATGAAGAAACTAAGACACTGAGATTAAGTAATTTGCTCAAGATGACAGAGTTTTTTCTGGAGTCCAGAGAATAACAAAGGCCTGAACTAGGTCACTGAAATAGAAAAGATGATGCAGGTATCACAGCTGCTGAAAGGAAGAATGAAGTCTTATGCTTGGTGATACACACTACAACCACGATATTACATTCAATTTAACTTCACAAATAAACTCATTTTTACAACTTTATCTCAGCTAACCTACTTAGTGATTTAGGAATCTGTTCTAATAAACTATTTATATATTTCTTAATATTATCCCTACACATCAGTGGTTCTCAACACAATTCTGCCCCTCAGACTTTCTGGCAATGTCTAGAGAGATTTCTGGATATCATAACTGAGGTAAGGGGTGCTAAGAGCGTTTAATGGGTAGAGGCCAGGGATACTACTAAACATGCTGCTGGGTACAGGACACCCCCACAACAATTATCCAACCCGAAATGTTAGAAGTGCCATGGTTGAGAAAACCTGTTAGACATGAAAGGGTATAAATATTTTACATCATAAAGCTACAGCATGAATAAGGCTGGATAGTCTATGGAAGCTTTGCTTACCAGTGAAGACTTACGGTGGCTCATACCTGTAATGCCAGGACTTTGGGAGGCTGAGGTGGGCAGATCACTTGAGGTCAGGAGTTCAAGACTACCCTGGCCAATATAGTGAAACCCTATCTCCACTAAACATACAAAAAGTAGCTGAGTGTGGTGGTAGATGCCTATAATCCCAGCTACTCGGGAGGCTGAGACAGGAGAATCTCTTGAACCCAGGAGGCAGAGGTTGCTGTGGGCTAAGATCGCACCACTGCACTCCAGCCTGGGCAACAGAGCAAGACTCTCTCTCAAAAAAATAACAAAAAAAGTTGCTGATGGAAGATACATGATATATGTAGGTACATATAACCTCTTCCGGAAAAGTATATAAATAGGGTAGAGAAGAGCTCTCAGAATCATTAAAAAAAGTGTTACGCATGCTTTCTGATTTACACGCCTACACATATTTACACACACCTGCATATATCTTCTGGTTCAGTAAGCCTCCACAAATTTAATTCATATGAGACAGAACTGACAGCCACTGACAACAGGGGGATATAGGACTACCTTCCAATCTCATCAGTTCTTATAATGTGACTGATAAAACTTTGTGGAGGAAAAGTATCTAAAATGAAATAAAAATATAGAAATAGTGATATAAAATATTAACACTGAGGTTCTGGTTCAAGATGGTTGGTTAGAAGCAACTAGTGGGAGCCTC